GGACCGGTTCTATATACCGGTGGGGCAGAGGCCGGCCTCAATGCTGCGAGGCCTGGCCGTGCCCTGAACCGTCCAGATGGACGGTTCAGCCCCAACCGGCGGGCGGCAGCCTCAAGAGCGCCGCCAGGCCCAAACGGTAATGTCGTTTGGGCCTGCCCGTCGGGTCTGGTCCAAGGTGAGGCCTTTATGGCCTGTAGTACCTCCAAGGTCGGGCCTTTAGGCCCTGATGCGTCCCTCTAGGCCTCAGTCGGGTCCGGTAGGACCCGTGTGGCGTCGAAGATGTAACACAAGGTCTCATACCCCTGCCTGATTGAGGAATGCCACACAATGTTTCACAAAAGAAAGCAGAATACAGTTGATGTGAAAAGAAAGAAAGAAGAAAGATGAACGAACGCAGAAAGAAAAGAAAAAAAGGTGACAAGAAGAAAGGGGATTGATGATAAGGAGACCCTCTTCTTTCCCTTTGTTCAATGAGAAGGATGTTTTGTATTTGAATCTCTTCTGGGCAACTTGTTTCCCATGTGAATGTGTGTGTGACTGTTACAGGGATCATGGCCTTAGGTTACATTTCAGCATTTTCAGAAACACTGGCTTTAAGTGTAATTGCCTCCAAAGGCATTGCCCCTATCATGCATGCTCTGGTCAATGAGCCTGAAGACCATGTCAAGAGCGCGAGTGCATGGTCACTTGGGCAGATCGGACGCCACAGCCCTGACCATGCAAAAGCCATTGCAGACTCTGGCTCCTTGCAGCATCTCGTAGCGGCACATGTGGCCATGACCAGCAGCGACGACCTTAAGACGAAGACCAAGCGTGCCTTGAAAGGAATTGTGGAGCGGTTAACATTCTTGCCTGCACTCGATTCCTTGTTGCAGGTAAGAGTTGATCTCCTACTGTGTGAAAGTACTGAAAACCAGACTGCCCCCCCCCCCCCCCGTGATGAGCAACCAGACGAACTGGTCCCCCCCCAGAATATAAAGGGGTTTTCTTTGTTTTGGAAAAAAAATAAAAGATGAAGAAGACGAAGAAGATAGAAGTCGCTCTGGTTTATTGCTATGCAAGACCAATAGGAATTCTGTCCACCTCTCAAACCAGGTCCATCAAGGTGGTCCATGCCAAATCAACAGGAAACTTGATCTACCTTGCCAAACCGGGGGTTATCATCCACAACGGTCGCATCTGCTACACTAGCATGCTGGTCTAGCTGACTTTAGCACCAAGTACAACCCACTGGTGTCTGCCAGCGAGTGGGCATATTAAGTGTTTCCACAAGCAATCGCCAGAGCAAATCAAAAATAAAGGAATGCAGGGAGGAGGGAAGAGGCGGGGCGGTGAGGTGGGAAAGGAGAGGGAAAGGAATGCTTGGGTGCAAAACCTGTTTGATTGCAATTTACAATGCTTTCCCGCAAATGCAAATGAAAGCCAAAGGCAAGACTTCAGTTGACCACATCATTCTTTCTTTCCTTTTTCTTGGACAAAATTCCCAATGTTTGGCCCTGCCTTAGGCTCTACGTATCATTCAAACCTAAAGGAATTATGCTGTTAATTTCCCACAGAGATGTAACAGTAAATCAATCCCTGTATGGGGCATGTAGCAAACAGATGAGATTGGCAAATGAGAGACTCACATTTGGAACCATCCACCCACCCACAGTTTCGACACAATTTGCTCGCCATTGGCTGAACCCCCAAGCTGCACATTTTATAAGAGAAGGAGCCGGTCCACATTCAACAGATTGGCTAAATTATGGATTCCACAGAAAAAAACGGCGGGTCATCATTTTCTTTTCTTCATTTTACCAAGAACGTTGAAGTTGCCTCGTAGCTAAGGTAGTGTCCCAGCCCATGAATCTGCTGTATGGTTCGACACATTACCTGCAAAACACGAAGGTAATATGTACTGTCTATATTTTCATATGCCCTCCCTCTGTCGGCCTCCCCCCCCTCCCTGCTTTCCCTCCTTCCCTCCCGTCTTCGTCTTTTGTTCCTTCCCTCCTTCCCTCCTTTGCTCTTTCCCTCTCTTCCACTCTCATTTCCTCCCCAACTACCTGCTTCCCACCCACTCTCCCTTCCTCCCTCCCTCCCTCCCTTCCTCCCTTCCTCCC